AGTTACAGCAGCATATAGGCACCTCTAATCTGTGCCAGGTTTAAGATAAAGAATAAGGAGGCTATCACTGATTATTCCTTCTCAGTTTACTTTCCTGCACTAAAACCACATGGAAAGCAAAGAGTTGTGCTGCTGGGTGCCATGTTACACTGCCTTCAGATTTTGTGCAGGGAGCTCTTTGTCTCTCCTAGATGTACTTGGCTGTTTTGTACCCACAGTTGCTCTAACGGGTCACAGTTTAGTCCCTCAGGGTAACAAATCAGAAGCAAGACTGTTAACCACTATCTATCGTAAGTGTAAGAAAGTGTCACAGTAATTTGGGATAGCTGTCTATATCTCCATCTTTATTAGAGATTGGGATTTTGAATTGTATATGTGATGTTATTGAAGCCAATCAGACTTCTCACCTTCTTGGCAGGCTCTTTTTGAATAGCGTGCTGTCTGCCATTCTGGGCCTTGGGCTTCTGCTGCTCGTCGCTTGCTACATCTTTGTGGAGTTCTTCATTGACCCCATGATGCTTCGCTCCGACCAGCACTTTGATGGTACTAGCAGTGCTTCAGTTGAGCATCCTGTGAATCAGCTAGCATATCTCAATATGGGATTGGATTCTGTGGGCTCTCCCACTGAGGAGGAACTCCATTCCTTACTCCTTCAATTTTCTGTTTCTGCAAGAATGTCTCTGCTCAGCTGGACAGAATGTGTTTTCGTCCAGAGCTGACTAACTGCTCTTCCTAAAGGCCTTGCAGACACAAGATTTCTTAGACCTCCAGTGCATAATGGGTCTGCAGCTACTTTTGAGTTAACAATATTTCCAGCTATAAAGTTTAGTTAGAGATATTTAATACCTGGACTATCTACTTACCTCCAACTCTTTTTGTTTTACAGCTCTAAAGAACCACACAGACCGCTGGTTTGTGTTTCTTCCTGCAGCTCCTGTTGAGACTTGGGCATCTGCCATTTTGGTCACGGCTGGGATTTTTATTCTTCTGAGCCTAATGACCGTGATCCTGCTAGGCCACCTCTTGACCTTTCACATCTATCTTAGTAGGTATTATGTTCCTGTCATCTGCATCCCCATTTCATTTTCACTTAGCTTCTTATGCTCGTTCTGCATTCACTGTGTGTTCACCTGTGTCACGAATATACATGCATTGTGCAAGATTGCCATTGAAAAGGTAGAAAATGTGGGTTTAAAATTATACTTCTGATTTTCCCCCAGTACCAGGTAGGCTTATCAGTGCACGTGCAATATAGGGCTTGCGGTGGGCCTGTGCATTCATGTGTCTAAGCTATGGTACCCTGGCACATGGGAGAGTAGTAGAGAGGCCAGGTGGGATGAACTGGTTAATTCCAGCTCAGTGCCAGGGATGGCAGGTCAGATTGGCTCCGCATGTGGGCTTTTGTGAGTCTCTTCACAGTGCTCCCCAGTACTTCTGTTGTGTGAGAGAGCCTGTTTCTCCGTGACCACAGGGAAATGTGGATGGTATTGGTCTAAATTTCTAATAGGAGGCCTGACATCCAGGTCATGGTCCCTTTACAGGAGTTGTACCGTATTGACACAAAATGACTTGTGGAATTCAGAGGAAGAGGTTTTCAGAAAGGCTCCTCATTAGATCTCCTAGTTGTTGCTCTGTCGAGAAGGGATATTTACTTTTGTTTAAGTACAGATGGGCATCAAAAACCTTTTTTCAGCCATTGTCTAAGATGAAGCCAATGCTATTTGGCTGCCTGATGTAAGTCATGATGAGAAAAGATCTTACACTTGCAGTAGTCGGTGGTGCCAAAACTAGGGAAGAAGAGATGTGATGGAAGAGAAATGAGGATGGCAATTACAGAGGATCCTTGGGTGGATTTTTAGGTTGTCAGTTAACAGCAATGCAGATGCCAACATAAACTAGGTCAGCACAAACCAGTGCAGCTCCAGAAGCAAAATAGTTGCACTGCTGAAGTGTAGCATTTGATGGGTGAGTGTTTCTCAGCTGGCATTAATGTTACAGTCACTGAGGTCTTTGTTGTTTTCTTCTTGCAGCCTCTTTGAGCTTAAATGTGGTCATGCTGCGATTTTGCTTTCGTGGTGGAATTGAAAGTTGACTTTGCTGGGTTAATGGCGATGCCTGGAGATTTCAAAGGTCGATCTAGCACTGTAGAAAGACTAAAAGCATAACAAAGCTGGGGCCGCTCCAGGAAGATTTCTTTTGGATGAAAAAGAAAGGATTATTCGGTTTAGTACTGAGCAGTATTTTTCCTGTCTTTGTGTACAACTTCCACAAGAGGGTGCTCCCTCCTTGGGATAAAGACGTGCTTTCTCTTGTCAAACAGAAACGTGCATGTGTTAAACTAGTTCTACGCTGACTTTGGGGGATTTTTTGTTGCTGTTATCTTGGGCTGATTTTTTTCCTCTTTCAGAATAAATTTTGAGCCAAATTAACTTTTATTTCTGGCCCAATTTTAAATCTTTACGACTTACATGGAAACAGAATGCAATTATTGTTAATTTTTGTTAACATTTTATTACATCAAAAGCTGCTACCCTATTGAAACTGGTTCCAGCTGTGCAGAAGTGCAGTGTGTAAGTCTTTGCTTAAAAAAAGCAATGTTGCTGTACTGAAGCCTATATTGTATGTTACATATGAGTATGTATTACACTTACAACTGGGATTCAGGGAGATAGACAAAGTATGTTTGGTTTAAATTCCTCTTATTCACACCTGTAATTATCAATAGTCTCATCTGAATGCTTTAAGGTAAATAGCGTTGGAGTGAACTGTCTAACCTCATTTGGGACTAGAAATACAGTTTACCAATTAAAATGTAATTCCTGTTCATGAATATTTCTTCATAAACCTTTTCTAAAAATAATTAAATTACAGAAAGAAAATAGCACCCCTGTGAGTGTTATTGCCTTTAAGCTTCACATAAAAACACCTGGCTTAAGTCAGGTATGACTATGAAAATTTTAGAATCTAGTTTTGTTACAAGCACAGTGAAATTTTCAGAATTACTGTCCTGATTTTAATTACTCACTGCTATCACTCATAAGGAAGGAAGTAGGTTATTCTCAAAATAGTCAGTCCATGTATTCAAAATTACTAGTCTTGATTGATAGAGAGTTCTAGAGGCATTCAGTGAAGCGTGACACTTCAGAAGTCTGGAGGGAGGATATTTTTTTCTTTCTTCAATACTGAGAGGCCAATAGTAAGTAGAATAAAAAGAAAACAGTAGTAGGGAATATAGGAAAGGATATGGGACTCTTCACAGGCTATGATTATATATTGCACAGTATGGGCTGTAGTGTTATCTGGCCAGACAAACGCAGTATTTTTTAACTAAATAGCTTTATTAAAATATTTTAAAAGTTACACTGTTAAGTACTCAGAAACCAACAAACTCTAAATTAAAAATGGTTTATAGCCCTTTGCTTAGGAAGCAATATTCTCTTTCTCAAATAAAGCATACAGTACCATTCTAGGAGCATTTGCGAGCACCCTGCACTGTCCCTGTTAAGTGCATCCACTAATCACTTGGCTGCAGACTCGCATTCATTTTTATGCTCTGTCTTCCTTCTTGAGTTCTTATTTCTCCATAAGGTCATTGCTTTAACAGGAGAGGTGCCTTCTTCTCTGCTCTCCCCCACTTCCCTGAGAAGTAGTCCTGTGTTTAGGGCATGGCTTTGAGAGGTAAGATATTGCTGATACAAAGGTCTTCAGGCAGAGGAAGGATTTTAGTCTGGATGTCCCACAACGTAGGCATCTGCTTTAACTACTATACTTCTGTAAAAAGGAAGAATGACTACCAGGCTGTGCACTAAAAACCTTCAGCATCCATTTCTGGGTTTTATGCTCTAAAAATACTTACTGTAACAGGGTCATTATAGGAGGAATGTCTGAGTTTTGGATCCTCATAACGTTTTGGGTCTCATGAAGAAACCAAACTGCTCAGAAATGTCATGTGCTTTTGCTCATTCATGGAAGCAGATGTGTTTGGGGGGGCCCCTTAAGAGCACATAAACTCAGGCACATAAAAACTCTGAACACGTCTATTTGGCACCAGACAGGTTGGGCATTTAATGCTCACTGGTTTGGACATTAAGTGTCTCAATCTCCTCTATGGGACACAGTAACCTGCTGAATTTCTTTTCTCCATTTAACATCACATACCTTCTGACTACTCACTGAGCTTTCTGTATGCTACAGATCTTACCTAATGGATTTGCTCTGAAATGAGATGAACAAATTACTACACTATAGAAGGCTGTATCATGTATATGAGGCTTTAGAAGAATAGTGGGACTATGAGAAAGTGTGATAATGACAGTAACGGATACAGTAAGATATACAGTGCAAAGGTGCTTTTGGCTCAGAGTATCAGTCTTTTCATGTTTATAGTTACTATTTGATTGTATAGTTATTCAGACTGTTTGTATAAGTGTCATCAGGGAGTGGCCTTTCCTGCACTGACAGGTCTCTTTCTTTCTTCCCAGTGTGGAACAAATTGACTACGTACGAGTACATCCTGCAGCAGCGTCCCCAGCAAGAGGCGAAAGAGGGAGACAAGCAACTGGAGTCTTGTCCCCCCCAAGTGAGACACAGTCAGGTACTCGTATTTTCAGTCCATTTCTCAAAAACAGCGTCGCTTGTCCACAGTGTAAAGTTTGCTTCACTTTTGTGAGCTCCAAATTTTAGAGGCAGTTGCTAAAGATAAGACTTCAGAGGTACTTTGGTGCAAAGTTGAGTAGGATGTGAGAGAGTGTAAGGCCTGTAATCTGATGAACACTTTAGGCATAAGCAAGTACTGCTTTCAAAGGAATCAATCCCACCCACTCTTTTCCTCCACCACTTGTTTTGGGCCCTGCACCATCTATTCTCTTCTGCCAGCGCAGCTGTTTGTTACAGTCATGCAGCGAACAGGGTGGGGGATCTCATCTGGGTAAGAATAAACTTTATTAAAAAAATAATTGAGCTCATGTTTAGCTGGCCCAGCTCCCTCCTATTTGGTTCACCAAGCAGTCACATAAATGCCTGTGTCAGCACGAATGGGGATGACTGAAGAGTGGGAAGGGTCCTGTCACTGGAAAGGACAGGACCATCTGTTTGGGTGGCAGCGCACATCTTGCTGGCTTATGTGAGCGGTACCGCAGGTCATGACTGAAAGTGAGACAGGCTTGAAGGCTGGAGAAACTGGGGCTAATCATCGAGCAGCTAATAATACCAAATAGTTTAACCATCTTGAAAAGGAAAAGGCCACCAATCGTGTTCAGAAATGACCCAGATATCTGCTTTTCTTTGAATTGAGTCTACATAGTAATAAGGGTCCTTGTGATTACTGTGATGTTGATCTGTATCTCTGGAGAAAGAGTTCTACAAGCTATTTAATGCTATTACACTCTGCAGTGGCATATATATTCTGCTATGAATTGAGAGGTTCAGTGTAATTCATTTTGCTGCAAGGCACCTCTATCCCTGGAGTTACTCAAAATTTGACTGGACAAATTTTGCCCTGGCTTTGATGGGGGGTTGGACTAGAAACTTCTAGAAATTCTTCCTAGTCTGAATTATTCTGGGATTCTGTGAGCCCGTGTAACTCTATCTGGCTTTATGCAAGTAAGTTACCTACTATACAACCAGTTTTATATTTCATAAGAAAATAATTAAATTCAAGCTTCATCCAAGTGTTCTGTGTAGAGATACTGGGATCTCTCTGTACTCATTCATGGTTTTTCCCTGTCAAAGCAAAGGGGAAAGTGAGCTAATTCCCTTTCGTATAATATTGAGACCCCAGCTTTTTGTATGTATTTTTTTGCTGCCTTGGAAAAGTTGAACTTTCAGTTTAAACAGAGGTTTCCATAACAACAAAAATATTTGGCGCTTTGTCTCATAGAGCTTTGCTTACCGTGAAAATTAAAACAATAATAAAGCATTAGCTCTAATAATTTCCTAGTTACTGAATTTTGATTGAGACTGAAAATACATTTGAACGGGGGTGGACTCTGTGTGTGTGCACATTTGGGATGTAGCCATTCAATGATGTTCTCCTTCTGCGCTGGTGCTTATCTAGATATGTGTGAATATGATTAATTTGAAGCAGCAAGCCTGGAAGAAGCAGGGTGAAAAGGAGTGCTGTGTTTCAGGACTGCAGTTAGTACCTTGGGGAACAAGAAAGACTGGATGATGCCCAGTAACATTGTTAAGAAAAATGTTAACCCGCCAGATTTTCCTTGTTTCTTACATAGCAACCAGAGATAAACACAAACAAATAGATTGGAGTAGGAGTACACCAAGTGACTTGCCTTTTGGAAGCTGTGTTGACTACAGCCGCCTTTAGCTTGAACACAGAAATCCTTTGTAATTGATCCAAGATGCTGTAAGCATAAAATGGAAATCATCCTCTTCCCACTTTTGTCTTAACTGTTCATTCATTTTAGGGAGTAAGAAGAAACATGCATTCCCCATTTAATCCTTGGTTTTGAGCCTTATTCAAGCTTGGGTGTTGGTTTTGGCTTCAGTTTTCCATGTTTGTCTGTGGTTAAGTCTTCAGCTATGTTCAGATTAAAGGATTCTTGTTCAGGTTAAAGGATTCTTATGTGCTTGTAGAATCCTTCTGAGAACATGCACAAAGTAAAAGCCCTAATTTTGCACACTTGAGTGGTTCAGATGTCAGAAAAAATGCAAAAGTTGGATATATACAGCCTTCGCCTCTATTACTATACCCAAAGTAGCCTGTGCAAGTAACAGTTTTTTCTGTAGGCAGTTGCATAGCAGTCCAAAGAAATACGAACTAAAACAAAAAACAATGCTTTAATGCATAATTGCATTCATACCAGGGAGCTGGCTTTCATAGTGAGACCAGCTGGGATGTGATTTTTTTCACATTCCTAAAGCTTTGAACTTGCTTTGGACACTGATTCCGGTTGGTGAGGTTTGATTTTAAATAATAAACATGGATTTTACTCAGCTTCCCTCACATTTTCGATATTGCTTCTCTCTTCCAATGTCTGGTTAAGATGAACCTAGTCTTCACTCTCAGCCTTGACACTTGCAACAGACCCACTTTCCCTGGGACAAGAACCATTTTTTCCTGTTCAGTTCTGCCTCCCCTCCAGCCAGACAACATTTCAGGCCACTGGCTGTCACTGAAGTGGATGGTAAGAGCAGCTGCAGCAGGCAAGGGAGCTGAATTAATCCTGAAGTTGTAACCATGAAACTTGGGGTGAACACAGCTGGTATTCAGCCTCTAGAGGAGGTCTGAGCATGACCAGGATTTGCAAGGTGGCAATGAACTTGGGTGGTTTGTCGATTGAGCAGTCAGTCTGTTTTCAGCAAGAGGAAGAGCTGAATCCTAACAACCCAATTGTAAAGGGTGGCTTCATCTTACTGTTGCAGATGCTGGCTGTCCTGCTAAGGGCTGTGGGAGCGGAGGGAGGCTGGGACTCTGTGCTATGGTTGTAGTTTTTGTCACACTGAGAGAACATTGTATTTTCTACTGATGGAGTCTTCTTCCATTTGTTTCTGCTAGTCAGCTCTAATGGTTCTTTTATGTGGCTGCTTTGGTTATACATAATTTATAGAAGGCTGAAATGAACAAAATGGATTTAAAAAGCTCTTTCATTCCCTGCTTGGAAAGCGTTGTTCGTGACATTCTCAGAATGTATCCTTCATGAATCTCCTTTGAAATGCCAGTCCTGCAGTCCTGTTTGTATGCTGTGGACATTGAGTCCTGATCATTTTAAGTTACTCTGCACAGTCTTACAAGGACATCTGCTGCAGCTCATTTCAGCCACAGTGTGCTTTCCTCTGAAAAGACCTGCATCTCCCCGCCTGCACACTTACAGTGACAGGAGATTGTGTCTGGTCCCCTTCATTTGTGACTCAGGTGCATGAGGCTTGAATGTAGATGTTAAGAATTTGGTCCCCAAGGAGATCTGAGGAAATATTTATGTACACGTGATGTTCAGTTGATGATGAACAATGTTCTGACTTGAGTTACAAGTTCTGTTTGAAATACATGTGGTCAATTTCTGCAGATTATTAATCCTGCATTTGGATAAACCCTGCCTATAATAGCCCCAAATAGCATAGTTCTCAAATCAGAAAGTTCTAATGTTTCAGATTGCTAAAACAATTCCCTTCAAATTCATAGAATCATAGAATCGTTAAAGTTGGAAAAGACCCTTAAGATCATCAAGTCCAGCTGTTAACCTAACACTGCCAAATCCACCACTAAACCATGTCCCTAAGCACCATGTCTACCCATCTTTT